CTAGATTTCTAGACCAAATGTTGCAACTTCTTTGAGGAAGCCCTCTCCACACAGCTCACGTTGGGCTTTGGTATTTGCCCAGTTCCCTTATTTCTTCAGGCCTAGGAATGGAAATGCTGCCCATTGTTAACTCTCAGTTACTGCGTTAGTCCTTCTGGTTTTCCAGGGCTCTGCCCATGCCTTAGTAAACAGTCCCTTTATTAAACTCTGCACTCTTCTCAAATTACCCAGCCTGAGAGCGTCATCTGCTTCCTGCTGGGTTCTGACTGCCAGAATATGTTCTCTCTCTCCACACACACGCTTTTTTCTTTTTTTGTATATTTGAGATAATCCATATTTACAAAAAACTTAAGAAGGAAAAACCTTTATTGAGCATTTATTATATGTCAAGCGTTGTGATAGGGTTAAAGGTTGGGAATATAGAGAAAAATGAGACGTAAGCCCTCTTGTCACAGTCTAGTAGGAGACACAGGTGAAAAATTAAAAGTGATGAGGATAGTGGTTTAGAGCATGAGTTTTATAGTCAGACAGACTTGAGCTTGAGTCCAGGCTTAGCCACCTACTGGTTATGTGACCTTGAGCGAGAGAGAAAAAAATGGGATTAGTACTAGGACCTTCCGTATAGAGCCCTCGTGAAGATTAAAAGTAAATCCATTAGCATCTATGTGTACTTATACATTAGTGTATGGTAAGTTTTCAATAAATATTACCTAAAATTAACAATTGTACTTTGTACCTGGTTTAGAGGTAGCACAGAGGCAGCACTAGTTAAATCGAGCTGAGGAGGTCAGCAAAAGTTTAATGGGTGAAGTGATGCCAATGCTGGATTTTGAAGAAACAATGATTTCACCAAGAGATCAAATAGAGACAGGCAGGCCAGGCAGAGGGAACATTATGTATAAGAGCATGCGAAAATGAAACAGCATTGTGTGTTCAGGGAGCATTGTGTGAGCAGTTTGCTATTGCTGGAGAGTCAAGGCCAATGCATGAAGAATAGTGAGAGATAAGGCTAACAAGTTTAACAAGGGATACATATACACAAAGAGCCTGGTTTGGACTTGATCTTGCAGGTGAGGAGCAACTAGGAAAGGCTTCTAAAACCTTTCATTTTGAAAATATTTCTAACTTACAGAAACGTTGCAAGAATTGTAAAAAGAACTCTGGTATACCCAGGCTCCTCAATTGTTAACATTCTATTACACTTGTCTTATTATTCATTTTCTTTTTTTTATGAGGTTTTTTTTTTTTTTTTTTTAATTTTCTACTTTTCCCCCCTCACCTTTTATCCCCTCTACGCCCTCTTCCACCTTCATTCATTTTCTCTCTCTGTATATTCTGAACCAATAATATACAGTATAACAGTCAAAACCAGGTCATTCATAAGGATACAATATAACTTAATTTCTTTTAGAGTAAAAACACTTTTTTTTTTTCTTTTGGTGCAAAATCCAACCCAGGATCAAGTGTTTCTTTAGTTGTCATATCTCTTCAACCTCTTTCAATCTGGGACAGTTCCTCAAATCTTTCTGTCTTTTGTGACACTGGAATTTTGAAGAATACAGGGCAATTATATTGTAGATTATTTTCAATTTGGGTTTGCCTGATATTTCCTCATGATTAGAATCAGTAGTGCATTTTTGGCAGGAGCACCACAAAAGATGTACTGTGTTCTTCAGTGTTTCATATCAGGAGGTGCACAAAGTTCATTTATACCATTATTGGTGATATTAACATTGATAACATAGTTGAGTGCCTGCAAGGTTTCTCCACTGTGAAGTTACTTTTTTGCCTTTTTAAATGATAAATGTTTTATAGGGAGTTACACTGAGACTATGTAAATATCCTGTTTCTTAACAAACTTTCACCCAATTATTTTAGCATCCATTGATGATTCTTGCCTGAATAAATTACAGTAACAGTTGTCAAGTGGTGATTTTCTATCATCAATCCTTCCACATTTATTAGTTGATATTCTATTGGAAAGAAAAGCTTACTTTTCTCCCTCTTTTGTTTATTTATGTATTTTTGTTAGTATGGGCTCACGAATTACTATATCTTTCAATGGTTTTCAATAATCTGATATTATTTATTTTGATGCTCAAATTATCTCCTGTTTGGCCAGTGGGAACCCCTTCAAATGGACTAATGTGTCCTTCTCATGGTCTCCATCATTTTTGAGCTCTACCTTACGTTCTGGTACAATGAGATCCTTCACACTTATCTTGTACTTTCCCTTCTCTGGAGCTGGAATGAGTCAATTCTCCAAGAAGCCCTGATTCCTTTTAGTGGAGAATGGTATTTAGAAATCAAGATCTGGAGATTAAGTGTGCTCATTGCCATTAGGCCCTCTTAGTGGTCAGAGCTTTACATACACACACACACACACACACACCCCTATATTACCTATCTATTTACCTATCAGAGCCTTGAGTTCACATTAATACATCAAATTCCAATGCAATAACTCATGATTCATTCTAGTCTTCAGCCTTCCCATACTTGGAACTTCCTTCTCAGAAAGAGAAAAACTTGGCTTTCATTATCCTTAATACAGTTACTTATCTGCTCATTTTCCCTTTATGTACCAAGCCCCTGATGTTTTTAACTGTTTCCTTAGTTTTGGCCTTGATGGTCTCACAGATCCCCTTAACCCTGAATAATAACTTAACTCTGACAGTTTACTTGGTCCCAACTCCATAGGTTCTGGCCACCTCTTTGTCCCGGTCCCAGCTCTGCGGGCCCTACATTAGTGAAGGGTTTTAAGCAGGGAAAAGGCATGATGAGATTTGTCTCTTAGAAAATCAGCTTGATGTCAGGGTACACCCAGTGGATTAGAGGCAGTTAAGAGGCTATTGTAATAGTCCAAGCAAGGCTTAAAATGGCCTAAACTAAAGCTGCAGCCACAAGAAAAGAGAGCACATAAAAAATATTTAGAAGAGCCCTACCTGGTTTGGTTCAGTGGTTAGAGTGTTGGCCCTTGGACTGAGGTGTCTCTGGTTCGATTCTGGTCAAGGGCGCGTACCTTGGTTGCAAGCTGGATCGCTGGCCCAGGTCGGGGGGGTATGAGGGAGGCAACCAATCAGATTATGTGTGTCTCTCACATCAATGTTTCTCTCTCTTTCCTCTCTCTCTCCCTTCTATTCTCTCTGAAAAGCAATGGAAAAAAATATCTTAGGGTGAAGATTAAAAAACAATAAAAAAATAAAATACAACGATTTAGAAGATAAGATCTATAGGACTGAGTGATTAATTTGATGGGGGGAGATAAAGAAGACAAAGGGGCCTTATTTTTAACTTGGGAGATGAAAGTAGACAGAGGGTGTTCACTAAGAAAGATAGGAAATTCAGGAGAAAAAGCAGATTTAAAGGGGGTAACAAAAGTGAGAAGATCATTGCTTCTTTTTGTTCATGTTGAATTTGAACTGCCCATGGACACTGGAGGTATAGTGGCTAGTTGGATAGATGGCTTTGGGCATGTGCTTAGACCCTACCTCAGAAGTGCTTTTCTTGCCCCACCAGCATGGCTCAGTGGTTGAGCATCCACCTAGGATCCAGGAGATCGAGGTTTGATTCCCAGTTAGGGCACATGCCTGGGTTGTGGGCTCAGTTCCCAGTAGGGGACATTCAGGAGGCAGCCAATCAATAATTCTCTCATCATTGATGTTTCTCTCTCTCTCTCCCTCTCTCTGAAATCAATAAAAATAATTAAAAAATATATTTTATACGTACATATATACATATGTAATGTATATATATACACATACATATATATTTGGTGGTTGATGTCTTTTTGGTTATGTGCATACAATATTTTAAATTTTATTACATTATTTGTATTGCTTACATTACAAAACAGTTATTTAAAATAAAAGTAATGTGAGCTTTTCTTATCTATTAAATATACATTTTAAAAAATGGGTTAGATATCACAAAGTTCACAGTACTTAATTGACGACCAATAAATTTTAGTTCCTCTCTCTTCCCTAGGAGGTATTCCAAGCACAAGTCAGAGAAAATGGCAGATCTGGGATGTAGTTGAAAAGATTTAGGCAACAGGTTTGCATCAGATGACCTCTAATGGTCCTTACAACTGTGACATTTCATGATTAATACAATTCTCCCCTACTTACCTCCTAAACTCCCTGGGGTAATACAAAAATATAACATATATAACTAAAGTTTGTACCGAATATTTAGTAGCTCCTGCCTTACTATTATTAGCACTGTAGATTGTGAATGGAGGCGGGTGGTGTGAAGAAAAATATCGGGCACGAAGGAGGCCGAAGCAAACCTCAGCCCACGTCTTCACAGACAGCTCTCGGGCTCCATTTCTGTGTGCGTGAGCGGTGGTCCTCCGGCCTCGGAGCAGAGCCAGTGAGAAACAGAACTTCCAAAGGGGGCGTTATGTTCCTTTTCCAACGAGCCGTCGGGTGGACCACACAGAGAAGTGAAGCGCCCTTCCCAACGGCCTGGGAGCGCGGGGCACGTTCAGGACATTTGGATCCAATCGGTGAGGGACGCCTGGGGACCCGTCTCCAGGCAGAGAG